TCTGGGTAATTTTAACTATTTGTAATTATTTTAATTAACTGGAACGTGGCTATCTTGGACAAAGTGAAGTTTTGTGTGTTGGTGATTTCTTTTTCTACTATAAATGCCTCTGATGATGGCTCCGTGGTGAGCCGAAACATGTAAGGCAGGTGCTGACGAGGTGGAAAACTTAAAAAAGTGTCACATTTGACGGAAGGAACTTGATTGTTAAGAATTACTGGGGTTTTGGACATTTTCCATCATCCAGAATTTTATGTAATAGAGGGCACAATGTTTCAGAAACTGGATCTGTTTCCATCTTCAGGTGTCTTCCTTTCTCACCTGAAGATGGAAACAGATCCAGTTTCCGAAACATCATGTCCTCTATTACCTAAAATTCTGGACGATGAAAAAAAGTCCAAAACCCCAGAAATTCTGTGAGCCTTATTCTGTGTTCTGTGTTTGCTTTAGCTGTCTCAGTCTGGACCTTCTCATTTTGTTATATTTCATAACACACACTGTGTTCTGGGATGAGATCATTAGTTTCACGTTCATCTCCCACCTAGATGACCAGAGGCTACCATTCATCTGACCCCTAACATTTGACCTACCTGGCATGGGTGGCCCTACCAGGAGCTTATGTCCCCACTAGCATAGATCTCTAGGTAATCAGTGTATAAGAACCTCCCCACTTTTAAAATAGTAGTGGAGGGAGAAATGTTGAATGGCCTAATTTCAGATTATGTCCCTTCTTGAAACAGAGTTTGATGCTGATGATCCATTGGGCGATTTACTATCGGATGAAGATGAATCTCCCTCTAGAACAAAGAAGAAGGATAATATTTTTAAAAGTAATTTGCCAGAATCCACGAAGAAACAGGAATCAGAGTCTGATCCTTTGGAACCCAAGAACAAGCAGAACCGGGCCAAAGTTATGGCAGAACTGTTTGGATTGGAGGAAGAGAAGAAACAGCTGCCGAAGCAGTCTCCAAGCGACAGAGATTCTTCATCCAGTTGGTTGGGACTGAAGGATCCCCTGCCTGCTGAGAACAAGACACTAGAAATTGCAAAAACAGCCAGTCAAACCCATGGACAAGGTACTATACAATGTGGTGTTATTGCTTGTAGTGTCAAAAATATTAGATTGGCAGTAACAGAAAAGCTCCGGTCTAGAAAACCAAGATTAACAGCCTTGGGACTCCATTGCGCTGATCGTGCGACACCCTCTATCCACAAAAGTTGGCTCTAACTTCGCTGACAAGCAGCGGTCGCTCGGTTGGTATAGTTCGCTTGTGGACTAAAAGCCATGGAGTTTAGTTTTTTAAGTAACAGAAAGCAGTGCACTAAATTATCAATTCATATGTGACATATTCAACATTTTAGATAGCTACAAGAAAGTGTTTTGAAATAGAGGCACAGAAGCTAAGCCATGCCACCAATTGCAGGAGGTGTAAATAACAAGCCTGAGAGTTTTGTAGGCCTCACAGTAAATGTTTTGTGGTAATAATTTCTTATAGGCACATGTCTTGAAGCATTGAAATCAAATCAAGAAAAAAGAAGTCTCAATTTTGTTTTGAACATACATTCTTCAAGTTGCAATAGCTTGATTGGTATAGCGACAGACTATGGGCTGGATAGCCAGGGTTCGATTCCCGGCAAGGACAAGAAATTTTTCTATATTCCTCACTGTCCGGACCAGCTCTGGGGCTCACCCAGCCTCCTATCTAATGGGTACCAGGGGTAAAGCAGCTGGTGTGTGAAGCTGATAACTTGCCTCCATATAGTGCTGAAGCCACGAATGCGGACCTATACCTCCACTGTCTCATATGTCTTCATGGCATAGTGCTTCATTAATTTGGCAAAGGGACAACTTTACCTTACCATATATTCTTCATCCTTGAGGTTTGACAGCTTGCAGATAATTGCATTTGCTCTTCTCAGTTTTATGCCAGTTAACTGATCCATCAAAATTGTAATGGTTGGTGGTGCTATCATGAAAAAACTTTGCTGCAAAATCTTTATCCCCCCTTCCTGCTTCTGCCTTCAGTGAAAAAGTACATGGCGTAGAGGTTGTTCTTTAATGCAACAATTTATGAACAATTTTCACTGAAATAGATCTGATATAAAATACATGAGTAGTATATTTTAACGGCTTGTGAACAGGTGGATAGAGTTGTAAATTATGGTCACAGGAAAAGAAAAACTGGTCTGGTAGAGAAAGTACTTGTCTTGTTTCTCAGTATTTTTCAAAAGTCTCATCTTGATCTCATCTCAAACTGAGAAAGGTCACTCTTTCACATGCCTAGTGTCTTATTATAAATAAATAAGTAAATAAATAAATAAAATAAACAAATAAATAAAGAAGTCAATCAGTCACTCACTCAATCCCTCAATCTTGGTTATTGTATTTCTGCATGAATTGATATTCTAAGTGAAGTTAATCTTATGCCTGATTTCTCACAATAAATGGAATATAGTTCTCCAGTTTCCATGTGGGAGGAGTCTCAGATGTTACAGGTTTAGCGGATGATGAATGTTTATGCATATGAAATTCTTTAATTGCAATGGAAATGGGAAACTCAGTTAGGAACATAGGACTCATAGTCCCATGTCTAATCATTGTCTGGTGATATAATTGTAATAATGTTGATGATGACGGTGACATAACTCCTGATTGTTTTGGGATGTGCCTTTAGTTGCAGAAATAACAGCACCTAAGAAATCTGTAACTTCCAAGAGAACAGGAAGTGGGGGCAGTGATTATGATGATGACAGAGATCTTTTGGCAGGAATGGGTTTTGGAAGTGAGACCCGTGAAAATTTAAGCAGCCAGCCCAAGTCCAGACTGGATGAATTACTTGGTAAAAGCACATCTGGCAGTGAAGGTTAGAACCATTATCAATGTTTCTTACATTGTATTAGGAGTCTGGAAGTGTACTAGTGGCTGTTCGAGCAGTCTTGTTCTGGCTTGTCACATAGATCTCTTTTGTTTAAATTATAAACTCCAGTGCAGAAGCTGCGAAAGGGGAACATCAGACAGGGGATATTAAATACTTTTATGTAGTATTATATGCATATCTCTTAGGGGTACACGGTAGCATAGTTGGTTGAGGCACTATGCTACAAACCAGAAGGTCGTGGGATCGAATCCCGATGAGGTCATTGGATTTTTTCAATTGTCCTAATCCTTCCAACTGCACTGTGACTCTGGGGTCGACTCAGCCTTTAACCGAAATGAGTACCAGGAATATTCCTGGTGGTAAAGGGCAGCCGGTGCATAAGGCCAACAACCTCACCGCCATATGTGAGCCAATTGTCTAGAAAATGTGGACCCTCAACTTCTCACAACCTTATGGCCTCCATGGCCTGTTACAGGGATACTTTTACGTTACTATAAGCATATCTCTTAATTTTCTTGAGAAATATGTACATTGTATGTGTAAATTTTAACAGATACTTCTCCACAGTCGATGTTGGATGATATTTTGGCAAAGAAAACGTTACCTAGAGAGAGGATGTCAGCAGGTGATGGGAAAAGAAATGCTCCGCACCAGACACAGGCAAGTTCCTTTCTTGTCTGAATTCTCAAATTGCTGTAATCAGCCTGTTCTCTGCTGTCCTGCACATTTGCTGGAACTTGTACCAACGTTGACAGTCACCAGGTTCTTGGACTCATGCTTATGTCATTTTTGTGACTATCAGAACTCATTTTGTTATCATGGTTCATGGTCTAAGTGCTCCTCTTATGGTGAAAGAATGGAGAAAGAAACTGATTTAGACTTGCATCCATGTGTGTAAAAAGGAAAATTATCAGTTTTCCTGATGTCTCTCCAGTGGTAATGTTTTTTTGTTCTTACTAATTTTATTCTGTGTTGTGCCATTGGAGAAGAGCAAGATGAATGGGCTATTTGGATGCTCTTGTTAATATTCACCACTGTTAAAAATTGAAACTAATGTCTGGCTGCTGTATGTAACTTCTATTGAAGAGTTTTGACTTATTTTGCATACATATCAGCCTTCAAGTGGTGTGTCGTTTGGAAACTATTCACCGTCAGTGTCAGCACCTGCTCGTCGTCCTGCTTCCCGACGTGACTCGGCAACAGCCGCTGTACCAGATCCTCTAGGCATTTTTTCCCCTGCATCATCTCCGACAAAAGAGAGTCGCCAATCATCTTCCAGCAATCCGGGCCGTAAGACAACTGACAGGCTTGGCATTTCAGACACAAAGCCTCCTGTTACAGTAAGTATGTCTCTGACACTAAGGGATGAACATAGACTGAGGATGTTTGAGAATGTTTGGACCAAAGAGGGATGAAGTGACAGGAGGTTTGGAGAAAACTGCATAATGAGGAGCTTCATAACTTGTACTCTTCTCCAAGTATAATTAGAATGATCAAGTCCAAGAGGATGAGGTGGGTGGAGCATGTAGCACGAATGGGGAGAATGCATATAGGATATTGGTGGGAAAGCCAGAAGGAAAGAGACCACTGGGAATACCAAGGCATAGGTGGGTGGACAATATTAAAATGGATGTTAGAGAGATAGGATGGGATGGTATGGATTGGATTGATCTGGCTCAGATAGGGACCAGTGAAGGGCTCTTGTGAACATGGTAATGAACCTTCAGGTTCCATAAAATGCTGGGAAATTCTTGAGTAGATGCAGAATTGGTGGCTCAGCTCCATGAGTAAGTAAGTAAGTAAGTAAGTAATGGGTTTAAAATGTGCTTTGTAGACTGCTGTTTTGCATTGTTTTGGGTTAGCATTGTTCCATAGTATTCCTTTTATAAAGAGATAAAATTTATAACTTTTTTTTTCTCTGAGATTCTCATGACATTGACTTCTGGGATGTAACACCATGTAGTTTGTGGAGTGGGATGAGCTTGATGTCTTGGAGGCCTACACTTCAGCCCTGAAGGTGGTGGTGATGTGTTCTTTTGAAATGTCTGGCTGTTTCTGATTTGAATGGCATTGCAACACAAAATACTGTATTTCATATTTCTCTATTGATCTCACCACCAGTTTTCCCTTCAGAGTCTGAAGATCAGTTCTTCCCGTTACATCTAGAAACATTTTACTGGTGTGAATGCCTTAGCTGCTCAAGTGACATCTTTATTAGTCTTACCTAATGATTTATGAAGAGTATGTTTCATGGTAAGGTTGCACAATTGAACTCTCTGGAGAGACGACAGCAGGTGCCAGAAGAGAACCCATTGCTTCCGGATTGGCTGGGAGGTGGAAGAACAGTTGTGACTGAGACAACACAGATTCAACCTGTGCCAGCAGCGTCGGTGCCACCAGCAGCAGCCGCGGAGCCAGCTGCTGCATCAGTGCCCTTACCGCAGGCCGTGGGTGAGTGATTTCAGGGTTACAGAGGTGTAAAAGTGTTACAAAATTGAGATTTTAGATTTTTACAGTGATGACTGTGAAGATTATTGCCTCCTGGGTTGTGACGTAGTGCAATCTGATAGAACATTACCAGAGTCCTGGTAGGGGCAAGATTTTTCTCCTCTCTGCGCTGTCCAGACTGGTTTTAGGGGCCACCCAGCCTCTGATCCAATGGGTATAGCAGCCGGGGCATAAAGCTGATCTCTCTCCTCCAACTAATGCTGAGGTCAAGAAAACGTGGATATGTACATCCACCTCCCCATACGTTTTCATGGCATAGTGCTTAATTAGTTAAGCCCAGGAAGAACTTTACCTTTCAGCGTGTATGCTCATAAATATATATTTATAGTTTATTTATTCAACAGTATTTAACAGCATATCACAACAAGAATTGTCACAGCCATTTTAAGAAAAGAAGCGCTCTTAAAGGAAGTTATTTTTCTTTTCAGAATGAATATTCTTGTCAGTGACATGTATAGTATCACATCCATCTCTTGTGGGAGGTCACCATGTACCCAGCATATGTCACAGAGCCAGAGATATAACCAGACTGTAGACACCATGAAGTACTGTCTCCACATTCTTATAAAATCGTTTCATGTTATTAGGGCACCCAGTGAGTGTCATGGGAATACTGGCTGCAGGATCTCAAATGGACCAACAGGTAGCGGTAGCTCTGCAGCATCAGGAGATGCAACTGCTGACAGCACTGCATCTAAAGCAACATGAGGAGCGACTGTCTGTCCTCCAGGTGCGCCAGCAGGAAATGCTAGAGCATCAGGAACAGCAGCTAGAGGAGCTGATACGCCGACAGATGGATCGCCAAGAGCAGCTCAATGCACACGTGAGGTCACAGCAGGAACGCATCAGTTCACACATACAGGTAATGTTCACTGCTGTATTTTGTGATTGGCATATTCACAGAGTGGTAAAGTAAGTAAAGTAAAGCTATTCCTGTAACAGGCCATGGAGGCCCATAGGGTTGTGAGATGTTGAGGTTCCCACACTATCTAGACAATCGGCCCACAGATGGTGGTGGGGCTTTCAGCCTTATGTGCTGGCCGCCCTTTACCCCCAAGAATATTCCTGGTACTCATTTCTGTTAGAGGCTGAGTCAACCCCAGGGCCATAGTGCGGCTGGAAGGATTAGGTAAATTGAAAAAATCCACCTCATCGGGATTCGATCCTGCAACCTTCTGGCTTGTAACATAGTGCCTCAACCAACTACGCTACCGCGTGCCCCTCACAGAGTGGTAGCATGTCTCTTAAGTATGTGCAGGTCTCAGATTTTCAAAATCGAATTGAGAAACGTTTTCTTGGTCTTGGTTTGAATAAAGATTTTTTTAAACACGGACCCTGGAAATTTTCAGATAACTGCTCTTGCTTTATGCAGTAGCATTTGAACTGCCTCATCTATCAGAACTGTAATGACTGGCAATGTTGGCACAAATCAGCTTGTCAAAAAGATATTGTAACGTGTTTCGTTACTGAATACGCCGTAGAGATCGTTAATTGGTTTATTCAACAATCTACAAGTAACGGCTACAATTAATTATCACAATATTACAGGTGTCCACAGTTTACAAACCCTACAACAAAATCTTCACGTACTAATAACGCGGGGGCTATACAAATCTCCCTGAATTACACACTCCAAGTATAACTGTACTACAGCACTCACTAAGTCTCGAAAGCACACAATAAGTCTTCCGCTCGCTGACTTCTTAGTTATCGCACACTCGCAGGCTGCTACCTTGAGCACTGTTGATAACACACTGACACTTGCTTGCTGCTCAGCCGGCTTTTCCTCTTCTAGACGTACCTCCATCTCGTGATAGGCTATCGTCTTTACTTCTTTATCTAGATGCGCCTCCGTCGTTT